GGAAAATGAGATGTAAGACAAAACAATTACCATCACTTCTATACTATGATTATCAGTTCTTAAAAACATCACAGTATATGAAATTGCACAATAAAAACCAAAGGGCTGAGACTAAAGAGACAGCTCAGTGCTTAAGAGCACTGGATGTTCTTCCTGTGTTCAATACCCAACGCCCACAGCTTACAATTGGTCTGTTGGGATTCAACACCTTCTGGCCTATCCAAGTATTGCATGCACATGGTAAACAAACATAGATGTAGGCAAAAATCCCATAACATATAAAGAAAAAAAAAACTTTTGTGAAAGGGCTTATAGGAAGAAGAAGAAAAAATGTCAATCAAAACCTTTGCCATGTTAAAAAAATAACAAAAAGTAGTAACGTGATAAGATTATAAAATACAGTAGACATGTTATCTTGAAAACATCCTGATGGTAAGGTGAGAAGCAACTGTCACAAGGTGTGGTGGTTTAAATGTAATGGTTCCCAAAGGCTCAAAGGGAGTGGCACTATTGGAGGTGTGGCCTTGTTGGAGGAAGTGTATTACTGGGCTTTGGAGTTTCAAATGTTCAAACTAGGCCTAGTGTCTCCCTCTCCCTCCCCCTCCTTCTCCTCTCTCTGTCCCTGTTACCTGTTGGTCCTTCTCCAGACCATGTCTGCCTGCATGATAATGAACTAAACCTCTGAACTGTAAGCCAGCACCACTTATAGTTAAGAGTTACCCTAGTTATAGTGTCTCTTCACAGGAATAGAATCACAAGACAAAGAGATACCGCTTAAAGGTTATTGTGAAGTGGTGGAAGGAAAGTTATCTGGCAGAAGAAAGTATGCAAGCACAAATATGGCTGGGTTTGGCCCACAACACACAGATAACTGAACAGCTGATAAATGTTTGAGGCATTGTGTAGCAGAAAAGACTCAAACCCCCCAAAAATAATTAAATCTGCTTACATACACAAACAAGAAATTTATTATTGTGGCACTACATGTTTATAAAAAGTAACAGTGATGAAGATTTCTTCAGATCAATGTTTCAAGACAGGAGTTTTCAAATTACTACTTCTTCAGTATTTTTAACTAAGCTATTTTTGTGCCCAACATGGCATGGTAGAAACTAACAGGATTAAAGATATATGCCTATTATTTTGGCATCGGTTGTATTTATTTCTCCCTCCATTTACCCTTTCTTGGGTTTGTTTGTTTGTTTGTTTTACTATTACTAAGTTGTAAATTTTATAAATTTAAAAATGTTTTATAAAATAAAGTCACATTCTTAAATTAGTGTATCACATTCTGGTATTGTAAAATGTAACTTTTAAAAACCTATTTATCTTCTCACACTTTATTTTTTTTATATTCTCATGTCTCATGCCTTCATATTTCCACCTTCACACAACTCTGTTATTGTTTTAAGTAATTAGTGTTAATTTAACCTAATGATATTAACAGTAGACTTTAACCAAACTATGGAAGCCAGCTCAGTGGAAAAATGTACTCAAACTGCTGAAAACCAATAATTCTATATCCAGCTAAACTATTTTTTAAAGGAGAAATTAAATTCACCAACAAAATCTGACAGAATCTGTTGTTAGCATTCTACATTACAAGAAATAATATAAGGGCTGGGCAAGGTAGCTCAGTAGGAAGATGCTTGGTTGCCCAGACTAATGCCTGAATTCAATCTCTGGGCCCCACAAGGTGAAGGAGAGAACCAAACATCCGTGTGCTACTCTCTACCTCCACACATGAACTGTGGCACTTGTGCACAGTCTTAAAACACCCCATTTTGGAGTGGGGGAATGTTTTAGATTTATTATTGGAAAATGTATTATCTGGTATGATATAAATATTTTATTTTACAACTCCCAACAATGTCAGAAATACACACACAGTAAAATGTAAAAAAAAATTAAGAAATAGAAAATTACAGTTTTTATGATTTTGTTTTCTCTAATTTTATCACAGAGAAGTAACAATATAAAGCTCTTAAAATGTATAAAGATATAACTGATGTAACAATAATATTACAAAGCAGAGGGAGAATATAGAATAATTTAACTAAAGTGGTACAGGGTTTAAGCACTAAAATCCACAATAGACCAATGAAAGAAATTAAGGAGAACCTAAATAAATGACTGACATCATCAACAATTAAAGGATTTAACATGAAGATGGAAATTGACCTAGCGATTCAAAACACTCCTTACCAAAAACATAACATGTTTTTTTGATCCTAAAATTCATATGGAAACATGAGCCCAACACAATCTTAAACAAAGTGGAGAATTCACACTTCTCAGTTTCAAAATACACTACACAATACAGTAGTCAAGAAGAAATACTACTATATTTGAACCTAAGAAATTACTGCAACAGAATTGAGTCTAGAAATTAGCATCTTATCTATGTTAAGATTTTGTCTTGTTTTTTTCTGCTTGTCTTCTGTTTTGTTATAACAGGATCACATATAATGCAGGCTAGCCCCAATCTCCATATATGGCTGAAACTGCTCCTGAACTCCTCCTGTGTCTACTTCCTAAGTACTGGGATTGTAAGTGCACCACCTCGCTCAGAGCTATGGCAAATTGACCACTAACAAAAACAAAAAGTTAGCTCAACATCGGGGGTACAATCTCTTAAACAAATGGTGCTTGAACAACTGGATATGCATGCAGATAAAAATCAACTCAAATGAAGCAGAAAATAAATGATGAACTGAAACTATAAAAACTCTCAAACACTGAAGGAAGTCTTTGGGACTTTGTCTTAGGCAATGATCTCTTAGCTCTAACATCCAAAGCAGAAACAACAAAAGGGAAGAAGAAGAAAAAAAAACTAGCCCTCATAAAGAGTATATACTTAATCTCTTGTGTGCTGTTAACCCATCTCCTAAGAAACCCATTTACCTGGATTTCCAGAACCCAGAAATTTATACCTAGATTTCAACCAGAAATCACATAAAAGGCAAGAGAAAGTACAGTATGAAAAGCAAAGCAAGTGCCAAAACCAACTAAGATGTGACAGAATAGGAAAGCTCAAACTGGAAATTCAAAACAACTGGTTAATATGCTAAGGATTATAAGGAGATATTAAACTCAACACTAGACATCAAAAATACCCACAAATAAATGAAGAATGTGTCTTTTGAGATATCAGTAAAGAACAGAACCAAAGGAAAAAAAAATTGTGACCGTGAAGATGGTCATGGAGATTCCCCAAACTAAAATGCCATGGGAAAAACTATTTAGAATAAGCAAACAAATAAATAAAAGCAGCCACACATACAAAAGCTGGTGTACAATATTTAAGTGGCACAAGACTGTGGGATGCACAGGGCCACGGCCCACAGGTGGAAAATGCAGCCTGAGGAGCAACCCCACTGGGACCTTCTTAGGTGTGGCTAGTGTCTTAAAATCACACCATTTCTAGTTTGCTCTCTTTGCTTCATGCTTGTGATTCAAGATGTAAGCCCTCGCTCAGCTTCCTGCTCTTAACTGCTAAAGCAGTTCTCCACCCCATTTTTTGTTTCTTCATCTCATGTTTGTTTCTTGAGACAGGATCTCACTGCATAACTCCAAGTAGGCCTGGAACTTACTATATAGTATATATAGACTACACAGACCAGGCTGATCTCAAATTCATAGAGATTCACCTGTCTCTGCCTCTCAAGTGCTAGGACTAAAGGAGTGTGCCACCACACCTGGAATATTTGACAGACAAAACATGCCAGCATGCTCACGTGGAGATCAGAGTACAATCTGTGGGAGCTGGTTCTTGTTCCACCTTAGGTCCTGAAGATTGAACTCAGGTCACCAAGGGTGGCAGCAAACACCAACTGAGCCATCTCATCCATCAGTAGCTTAGTTCTTTACCAACTCATTTGTATACCCAGCCACAAGCACTAATCCTCAATCGTTTTAAAACATTTCAACCAATCACATCACTCATTAAAAGCATAAAGATCAAGGACAACATCCATTTCTCCTGATTTTGGAAGGTTACTCTCACCTGAGCACAACAGAAGCAAACAGCAAATACACAAATACAGTATGAGATAAACATACGGCCTGTGTGTGTGTGAAAGGGAGAGAGAGAGAGAGAAGTCACTTCAATAATAAATAGGACAAAATGCAAGTCATGTATAATAATGACGTTATACAATGTTAAAAATTATAAAGTTTCTCTTTTATGATCCTTAAACCCTATTTCTTACTGCTGTTGAAATCAGCTTCAATAGAGAGGGGGGGG